TAGGGTTGCCAGCCCCTGGGGGGGGAGGGATGGAGGGAGGGAGGGGTTGCCAGGGGAGACAAAGGAGCCAACAGTCCTGGCCCCACTGCCACAGAGGGAGGGGCCGAGGCCACCAGGCGCCTGGGGACACGTCTCATGCCGGGTCTCGAGGACGGGGCCATGTCCCACGGCAGAGCTCACGGGCATGGAGACTGGACCTCCCCACGTGGGGCCTCGAGGACGGGGCCACGTCCCACGGCAGAGCTCACGGGCATGGAGACTGGACCTCCCCACGTGGGGCCTCGAGGACGGCGCCCGATCCCACGGCAAAGCTCACGGGCATGGAGACTGGGACCTCCTCACGTGGGGCCTCGATGTCGGGGCCACATCCCACGGCAGAGCTCACGGCGGGCATGGAGACTGGGACCTCCTCACGTGGGGCCTCGATGTCGGGGCCACATCCCACGGCAGAGCTCACGGCGGGCATGGAGACTGGACCTCCCCACGTGGGGCCTCGAGGACGGCGCCCGATCCCACGGCAGAGCTCACGGGCATGGAGACTGGACCTCCCCACGTGGGGCCTCGATCTCAGGGCCACATCCCACGGCAGAGCTCACGGGCATGGAGACTGGACCTCCCCACGTGGGGCCTCGAGGACAGCGCCCGATCCCATGGCAAAGATCACGGCGGGCATGGAGACTGACCTCTGCACATGGGATCTTGAGGACAGGACTACATCCCGCGGCAGAGCTCATGGTGGGCCATAGAGCCTGGGACCTTGCTACACAGCCGCTTATGCCAGTGCAAGGTCCAGCCTGACTCTTCCCACGTGAGGTCTTGAGGACGGCACTATATCCCATGGCAGATGTCATGGTGGGCAGAGGAGACTGACCTCCCCACATGACAGCCTCTGTGGTGCAGGGGATGGCCTGACACTCTTTACATGGGGCCTTGAGAATGGTGTGACATCCTGCATAAAGGCCATGAGTGGATGACAGTCTTCCGTGGAGGCCATGACAAGAAGCCCAACAAGAAAGGCCCAACAGAGCAATATGACTGCCTGAGTGGAAGCTAAGATGGGTTGAAATGATCCCTCATGCTGGGGACATGATGTCACAACACAAATCCTATTATCTATCCATAGATACCAAGATGAAAACTCTTCAGTGTGTCATTGTGTCATCTGCACTGTACACTGGCATATAGTAAAAGAAACCCTTTAATTTCCATGTAAAACTGCCTTAAAAATTAAGGTGGAATAAATAGACATTTACTCTAAATTAGGCCTCTGATAACTACTTGTTATTCAAAAATAAGACTGGATCTGGGATAAAATGTGGAAAATACAATATTCATTAACTTGTCAAGAGCTGGGTTTTAATTCTCAGCCTTAGGTCTGTCTAAACAGAAAAAAAGAGGTTTTTGCTGATATAATTACACTCTTTGGGTTTTTGCTGCCCCATTCAAATTGGAAAATGAGTGGTTCTTCCTTTTGGGTTTGGCACTTTGTAGGCTTCATGATTGAGTCACAATGGCCTGTAATTGCACCACTACATCCTGACACAAATATCATTCACTGCCTCAAATTACATCAGCCTCAAGATATATCTCAGGATAGGTGGAAGTTCTAAAATAATCTTTCTATACGTTTAACTTCTCTAAATTACCAATACGGTATATGAAATGGTTTGTCCTCCTATCTAATCTATCTATGTAGCTAAACTTTAAAAAAATAACCTTCAGGCAAAATCTATGTCTGGGATGTTTCAGATGAAAGAGGAAAGTTTTTGGGAAGTTACAAGTGACAAAACAAAAGGCTAGAATAAAAGCTTATGCAACCTGAAACCTAATTTATAAGAAGTTTCAGTTATTGCACATGCTTCTCAAGTTCTACCAATTTTGGCAGTTTTACAATTACATTTTTTGATATTTTGTCTTTTCTCTGTAGCTATGTAAAGACCCAAGTAAACAATGCCTGAGCAAGTTTCATTCTAGAATAATCAAACTGTTGACTTGTGAGGAGACAAACCTTTCAAAGGAGCTCGACTTAGACTTGTAAATAAAAACCTATTTTTTCCATTTATCTTTCTCTTCATAAATTCTTTACATAGACACTGAACATTCTCTTTCTGTATCACTCACTCAACCAAAAATTCCAAAATACATACTAAAGAAGCTTTCCCCACAAGTTGAAAAAGAGAAGGATTATTACATTTTTTTAAAAGTCCCTGGGAAGCACTCACAGTGCAGATAGCCGTATAAGTATATATGCAACTAGATAAGATTTAGACAAATAGAATGTACAGTGTTTAAAACATAATATATCAAGCCTGGTTATTGTATAAGCTGTTCTCTGTTTAAGTGAACAACTTTCTTCACCATTAAGTGAACTACCCTGATTCAAACAGTACCAGGAGATCATCAGGAGAGACAAAAGAGGCCAGAACTACAGAATGCTATGCTGTCCCTACAGGTGTGTGTCTGATATTTTTATTCCTCCACTCAACTTTTTCACATACTTTCTTTTAACTTTTATATTAGACAGTCTTTCACTTTGAAGGTTATGGTAATTTATATATATACTCTTGATTTTTTTCTTTCTTTGCCATTATGTCTATTTTGTGTCAACACATTGTTATTTAATTTCCTTCTTTTAAAGGATCTTAAGTTACTTATTCAAATTTCTGCGCTTAATTTTCCAAGAGGACTCTCTCCTGGTATATAATACCTATGCTTCCTGGGAGTTGGATGTAATCTGGGTACTTTATTTCTCCTTGGCAAAACTTGTGTATACAAAGGGAATGTTTTTCTCTTTTAGTTCAGAACTTATATTTATTGATGTTTGGGTCTTCTAAAGTTAAACAATGTCATAGAATTAGCAAATGTTCTGGGTTCCTTTTTGGAATAAAAGATGGCTGCTGGCTGACTTGTACCTAGCGTTAACAGTGTGTAAAATGCTGTATGTTTTTGCCTGACTGCCATTATTGAGCATATTTCAATTTGCCACATTTATCACAATTGATTCTAAAATTTTACTAAAATAATGTTTTAAAAAGATTGATCAGGAACAAACCTGAAGGAGGCAGGATCTGATGACTTCAAAAAAGAATGGTAGATAGAGCTTTCGACTTGGTAGATAAAACGTTAAAAATGTGCTAATCATTAAAGGTTATTTGGAAGGGAAATCTCTGCATAACTCTGGTGCTGGTGATTAAGTAAAGGTTACTGCTCGTTTTCAATTAGTACAGACCCCAGTGCCCAATCATGATGCTAGGTGATACCATACTAATATTTGTAAAAAGTGTTGAGGTCCTTGAATGGAAGGTTTTCAGTGTTAGTTAGCATTATTAATTAACTAGCAGACTTACCCAGCATTGCTCTGGTCCCTCAGGGCAGGGGGCTGGTGGAGTGAGGTGTGCAGGAGTCAGGGTTGGGAGGTGGAAGGGCTCAGGGTCAAGAGGCTTATTTATAAAATTACTAAAAGACTTACCTGGCATTGCCCACGTCTGGGGCCTGCAGGAGGGGCCGCACAGCCTGCCTGCTGGCTTCTTCCTGGGGCTGGCCCAGGTGGGGGGGGCTGCACTGGCTGGCCAGCAGCTGTTCCTTGGTGGCTGTACTGTGGCTTCTCCCTGGGGCTGGGATGCTTGCTGCCTCCCTGTGGTCATTCTTGTATATAACAGGGATGTTAAAATGTGTTTACTTGTGTAAATGTGTAACCGCTGAAATTTTCAGCAGTTGCACGTTTACATGTGGG